TCATTTCTAGATTTTTTAGATTTAACATATGACCAAAACGATTTCGGGTCTTTTTTAATATTATCTTCGGAATACTTAATAAATTTTTTATAACAGTCCGCCGACATCCTTTTGAACCGACTCCTTAACATTGAGTATATATTATAATCACATATGTTACCGAAACGCTTCCATTTCCTGTGAAATTTACATTTTTCATTTTCTAATTTTATCAAGGGCTTAGTAAACCAAACTGGATATTTATGCTTCGTTTTTATATTGTAACTTGGCACATATTTCTCTATTAAATTATTCAAAATATTATAAAAATAATTTGTCATAGAATCTACATCACCCACCAGAGATTTCTCCCAGTCTATTTTATTTAGAGCTGCCCTAATGGAGTCAAAATCGGCTTTAAAGAATTGTTTTTTAATGCAATTTGGAGGTTGTAGTGCTACATTAATCATTTATTTTAAATCTAATTCTAGTGGGGGGTGGTGAGGATCACATGGCACCATTGGGTGGCTGCTAAGTGATACTTGACAATAATCGTTACAAAAAATTAAATCCAAAAGCTTACTGTTTTGATTAAATTGGCTGTTATACTGTGATAATAAAGATATTCCCATAAAATCGGCGGTAAGACAAGCTAAATTATCATTATTTGTTTGTATTTGCATAGAATGCATGCGTGCATTTGGAGAGGCCTATGTCCAGCAGTGGACTATGACAGGCTGTTGATGATGATGATGATAAAGCTATCGTCTAAACTTTAACCCCCTTATTAATAAACGAAGACTACGCCTGGATTACTTACTCCATGTTTTGTCTCTTCTCTTCTATTTGTCATTCAATAGACAGCTATTGAATGACAAATGGCATTTGAGTGACAACAAAAGACGGCGTAACTTACCTAAGCCTATTCCTTGTTTATTAATAAGGGGTCTAGACTCTACTAGCGTCTATAGATACGCAACCCGCTTATTCGTTACGAGATCTAATCAAAATTGCGAAGGCTAATTTCAGCGCATTTAGTGAGAAAGCCAATCGAAGCTTCATCACTTACTTACGTGTGTGAGAAGCAACACATGATCTTGCTAATAGGCTAGTTGACCCTTTTTGGAAAAAGGTTTTAAATGGTTAATAAATGTTCTATTAGACCGAAAAAAAATGTATTGTATTTTTTTTAAACCTAGAAAGCTACAAATCTTTAATTTTAAAATAGACTTTTCATGGACATACAGAAACGCTGTCGGCCATTTTAGTCTATAGATTATCTATGCTATGACGTGAACTGTGGTAAACAAAAACTCGTAAACACGTAGAAAATTACTTAAAACTGAGTTTATAATAAAAAAAACATGATTTCTAATAAATACCACGAAAAATAAAGTAATTATCATTACTGTATTGTACGAGAATATAAAAACACATCCTTGAAGACTCCAGGAAATTGTGGATTAAAGTGCCGAAAGAAATTAACCTACGCAACTTTATTACACTTATTCATATGTTGTATCAGTTTCATGTTTATTACTACATTGTAATACTATATGCACTGTACTTACATAGATGCCTTGTCGTTTCTCTGCTCCGCAGAGCAGAAATGGGGGTTAGTGCAACAAATTCACCAACCATCAATGCATCAATTCTTGGCAGATTTGTGCTTTCTGCTTTTACAAAGCCGGCAACCATAATTAGTTTTGTCAAAAAAAACTAAGTTTACTGTTTATTTCTTTCCTAAAGTTAAAAGTGTTTTAAGATAAATTTAGTCAGACGAAAGAATCCACCTACAGTAACACGCGAATGACATTTAGTTGTTTACCACAAGAGACGTCAAAATCATGGCGGTTGTGGCGAACAGCGTTTTTAGTGTTTAAAAAATATGGACTAAAAAATATTTTTTTAAATTAAATTTCTACAGCAATCTTCTGCTTTTATGAAGTGAAATCGATATATTTAGGTTCCTTAGACCAAATACTTTAAGAAATAAACATTTATTTAATACAATTCGACATGAGTAAACTAGCCTATTACTTTCAGACCGAAGCGAGCTATATAATGTCTGATAATATTGTTATCTTCGCGTTTCGTACCAAAAGAGCGACAACCGAACTATGCACTTACATTACCTAGCCTTTGCTGTCCATCTCTTTCTGTACCCTTAGCACGAAGCAATATCGAATTCGTGTCGTTGGCGAGTCCGAAATGTCATTGTCAAATGTGTACTGATTTTTAGTTCTCGTTAGGTACATTGTGCCGCTGCTGTTCAAGTTTCCATACAAAATTTGACATCGACATTTCGGTTTGCAAACTATTCGAATTCGATAATGGTTCGTGCTAGAGGTACTGATATCGAATTCGTATCGTTTGCGAGTACGAAATGTCATTGTCAAATGTATACTGATTTTTAGTTCTCGTTACGTACGTTATGGCGCTGTTGTTCAAATTTCCATACAAAATTTGAATTGACATTTCGCACTCGCAAACTGTTCAAATTCGATATTGGTTCGTGCTAGGGGTACAGTTGACTGTATTTCATGAAAATATCGATCGATATTTTATCTTATATCTTTAGCTTTGCTAAAGAATATTTAGGTGTTTCTATTGCGACTATTCAGTTCAATAAAAAAAATAGAATAAGTAGGTACCTATTACAATTCTTTCTAGTACTAAACTATCACGTGTTTTTCTAGTCCGACTCAATTTTTTTTTATACTTACACTGGTTTAGTATTTTATCAGAGTATAAAATACAGCCAAGCAGACCTCAGCGTGGACCTAGACAACGTAGTATTAAGGAAAGGGCCTAGTGTGGACACTAAAGGCTACAACGCCCAGATTTATGACTCTTCTCTTGCCACAGAAGATTACACACTCTTACTACAATCCCATTCTGCACTGTTCTTTACCTCATAATCAGGCTTCGAATGACCGCACTGCTGGGGCACAGGCCTTCTATGGATGGAACAGAGAGATTAGGCCATGACCGACTACGCGGACCCATTACAGCTTGCTGGCTGATCACGACTGCATACGCAGCGGAGACCAACGGTTTAACGTGCCTTCCCAAGCAGAGTAGAGATCAACATACTCACATTTTTGGTCACCCATCCGATAACCGGCTCTTGCGATAGTTGCTTAACTTCCACGATAGTTAGACCAAACACGCCAACCACTCGCGTCGTCAAGCACTTGCGAAGCATGGGTTTCAGTCGTACGGGGAGATAGCATTATGTGATTTTAGGGTTCCGTACCTCAAAAGGAAAAAACGGAACCCTTATAGGATCACTTTGTTGTACGTCCGTTCGTCCGTCAAGACCGTTTTTCTCAGGAACGCGTGGAGGTATCACACTAAAATTCATATCTAATACTCATGTGTACTGTCCCTTGGAGCTGTGAAAAAATCAAACTTCTAAGCCAAAGCAATCAAAAGATACAGCCGTTTCTGCCGCAAATTTTCGAAACGCGCACGGGAATCAAAACCTACAGGGTACTTCCCGTAAACTTAGAATCTTGAAATTTGGTACGAAGTAACGTCTTATAGTCTTGAAAAACCGGAAATGTTTAAGTAGTTACATCTTAAAATAAAAAATATTTTTGAATACCTATTTTGCTCATGAACGCGTAGAGGTATTAAATTGAGTTTGTACGGAACTCTCGGTGCGCGAGTACAACTCGCACTTGGCTGGTTTCTTTTTCTCTAAATATACAAAAATCTCTCCTACTGGTGACAACTGAAATGGTGAATTTTTATAAAATACTAGCGGACCCAAAAAACGTCCTGCAAAATAAAAATAAATTAAATTCAGTTATACGGCTGACTGACTGACTAAATTCAGTAAAAATTGTAGAAGCTGACGACAGCGGCACCTGCTGGCTCCAGTTGTGATACCTCCCAGGGCGGCACTTTCTTCAAATGAGCACACAAAATTTTATCGAAATCGCTTTTGCCTTTTAGGAAGACATGGACAAAAGAAAGATAAATAATATGAAGACAAAAATTTATATTGAATAATTTTAGTGCCCCCAAAAGTCCCGCCATCGGTGAGACTACTTATGTTCTCAGAGTTTTAATGCAAGGGGGACTGAGTTAGCTAAGCAATGGTGTCAATACTGGCATTATTTACTTAACTTAAAACTGAATTTAACATCAGTCTATCAAATTTAAGTTTAGGTTTAGAGAATTATGCCAGAATCGTCACCTGTGCAAGTAAAGAATACCAAATACTGGGTCTGTTTATCTCACCCCTTAGAATAATTACACCAGTGTTATGGTAGGTACCTTAACCTTTAACTCGTAAAAATGTTTAATTATTTGAATTTATGGATTTGTACGAATCACTTGTTAAAGAATCCAGATTAGTAACCGAGGGGCTTATTGTCTAATGGTCAGTTCATACCAGCACAGAATCAAAGCGAATTATATAACAGTAACATAGCAAATTCACCCTTATCACAGCAATGTAATGCACCATATAAGAGCTGATAATCAGCGCATTTCTTTTTATATCAGAAGGAATATGTACATTATATTACAGAAATAATGGTTAATTTGCTTTGTTATATTTCTGAAATTCGCTTTGATGTGCTTCGACTCTACAATAGTTTGAATTGACTATCTTTTCAGATTCTTTTCGCTATTAACTAAAGGAAAGCTGTTAAAATGACATTACTAATCCCTTTCTAACTTTGAGATGCCAGGGATCATAGAGCACTGCATCTACACTACACCTATCACTCTTTTTACGTCTATTTGTCAAACCCCACATCACTTTGACAGTTGAGCGTGATAAAATCACAATACAATAGGTCCTCTATAATCCGAGCCCCTTCTAATGGGAACACCTCTGTAATTGGGACGTCCCACACCCGCGCCTTTTCATTCCAAGATGGAGACCCATATTTTTAGAGCAGCTTTGGTTAAATACCTCGAAACAAATTAAAATATTTTAAAAAGTTTCATAAATGTTATTATTTATGAATGAATAATATTAGTTTTATTTAATAAAAAATACCCTTTAAATTCTCTGCAGAGCATTCAGATGTATAATATCATCTCATGGTGCTTATGCTAGAGGCCTAAGTATAATCATGGTTCCAGATAAACTCAAAAGTAGTGCCCAATAAAAGGAAAGTTTTTACAAAGATAAATTATTAGGGCAGCATTATATTTAAAATGAATTCTTATTATTATACTTATTTAGATTGACATTGATGTCGATTCTGGCATGATTCTCTAAAGCTAAACTTAAATTTGGCAACAGTGCATCCCTGTCATTCTCTATACGGAATGAAAAGGAGAGACTGATGTTAAATTTAGTTTTAAGTTTAGAGAAACACGCCAGAATTGACACCATTATTTTAAAATATATTAACCAACATTTTGTGTTCCAGCCTATGAGTTTTCAGTTTCTTTATATCTGAAAAAAAAAGAGATAGTAATTATCAATAAAAGTTTAATCTTTTGTTAATTGTATTTTTTTTTATTTGACAGTGACATATATTCTGTAACAACAAACTCAACTTTCACCTAAGACGTTGCCGGTGTGATTTGAAAATTATTTGAAATTCTGATGTGAAAAGTAAGTTTGTTCTTACAGAATAGCATTACTGTAATTAATTTAACCTTATATCAAAATAACGCTTTAGAAACATGCAAAAACCCTCTGAATTTCCATGTGGATTTGAAAATATTTTATTTTGTTTCAATTGATTGGACATAAGTAATATGATATAGTTATATATTTCATAATAATATCTTTTGCTTTTTAGTTTGATCTGCTATAATAATAAAATAATATATAAAACCATGTTTGTTAGTCGTTTTGTCATCTTATTTAATTTTTCATCGGACCTCGATAAGTGTGCAGGGTTATTCAATTTAGTATTTTTAATATAACATGTTCCAAATACAACAATTTATGTTATTTTTTAAGCTAAGCTTTGTTAGCTTCACATAAATTGTTGTAAAAAAACATAAACAATTTCAAAAAATATACTAACTTGCAAGATGTGCATGTGTAAAACACTGTCTGCCCTTCATCAGCTGACCGTAACTGCAGTGTTGCATATGACATTCTCTCATTTCCACACTTGGGACATTTCCTTTCAACAACAGGCCCTTCTGGGTTATCCATATTTATAATGTTCTCATTATTGGTCAGAGACACTGTATTAAAATTTATAGTGTATTCAAATTCTAAATTATTATAATCTGTAAATAAAATTATCATTTTTTTTCTTAAAGCAATTTTAATTCAGTCAATAAAAATTGCCAAAGATATGAATAATTTTGTCTATAAGTAATTTTGTGGCAAAATTTGTATTAAACTGCTTAGATACAGTCAATTGCGGAAATACATAATAACATTTTATGTAAAATTAACTTTTTTTTTCTTTATTTATTGCAACATGCTTAAAATTAAATTTCATATATATACATATCTAATCCACTTAATGGATTGTTTATATGTAGCATCCGCCGTAGCAGAAGTTGCAGATATAGATGTTGACCTTAATTTTACTTAGGTACTATATAAATGAAATCAAATTAAATCTTACAATTTGCTCAATCTTATATGCTAACTAGGTTATACATATTGCTGTAGTTCCTCCTGAATTACTGTTAAAGTTTTTTTAAGTTTATTTTTTATTTTACAAATGTATACAATAATTGTAGTTCTGTAGGTAGCTTGTTAATATTTTTTGGTAATATATATTGGCACACCCTTGTTCCATATAAGTTATTATAATTTGGGATCATGCAGGTATCTGTATAATCTAGTTGTCTTAAGTTACTAGATCGGTTTCTCAATGTGATTAATTGTTTATTATGGTATTCGTCTGTTAATGTTACAAGTTTAAATTTATCAAAAATATTTTGAATATTACAGTATTGGAATAAACTTTCGTTATTTAGATTTAGTTTGAACTCAATAATATTATCAGGAAAGAGTTGTCAAACTAATATTTTAGGAGGGGAAGGAAATCCAGCCTCTTATCTTACTAAAATAATGCAACTTGATTTCAGTTTGATACTTATAAACATAATGACAATTAAAGAAAAATATACTCACTTGAAGAATCATACACGTTTTTGCAAACAAAGCACTTTACAGAGCCAAATTTCTGTAGGAGCGGCAAAATTGAACCACATCTGGCACAAAAGGCTGTGCTACTTGAAAACATGCCCGCGGCAGCCATGATTGTTATAATCTGAAATTCTGATCTAAAATTATAAAATTAAATTTAGTTGTAAATAATTATATAAAGTACTTTAAATATAAATAGTCTTTAAAGGCAGTAATTATAATTTATAGCTACCAACATAACCTTAAACTCTGATAAACTGGTGCGGAAAGAAACATTAAAGTAATAATTATGTAAATGATTTTGATAATGATAATACCACCTACCTTTATCTATAATTTACATTTCAAAAGAATAATATTTCAAAATTTGCTAGTACTTCAAATGTATTTTTGTTTGTTGGTCTTATTTTTTTTTTCTTTTTTTTAAAGTTTTACGGCCGTGAATTTCTCCATTTCGGCCATTGTTGCTCTAATAATGACTTAAAAAAACGCATATTCTTTATACAAGTACTTGTGAAGTCGAAAGCTACGCCAATGGTTCGCAAGTCTACGGCGGGAGACCTTGTACTGAGAAGAACCGACAAGAAACTCAGCAAGGGCTGCTTTTTAGGGTTCCATAGTCCTGACAAGGAACCCATATATTTGCATCATGTCTGACTGTCTATGCGTCCCCGGTTTTGCTTGGAAACTTTTAGCACTAGAGAGTTGTAATTTAGTGAAGATATGTATATAAATCACGCCGCCAAAATGGTAAAATAAAATTGTGAAAATTTTTTTTAGGGTAACATCCCTCCTCAGAGTTGACATTATCGTGGCCAAAAGGGTGTCCTGGGAGAGCTTCATGTCGCTCCTAGACCAGGATCCCTGGGGGCAGCCGTACCGAGTGGTGAGGTTTTTAACGGTTCCACTCCCTCCACCTCGGCCATAAACTAACGGCTTTTCCGTTACGCACCCGTGAGACTTGCGAGAGGCTAGGTGTGAGGTCCGTTCGTTGGTGTGCCCTTTAAGGGCGCCAACGTCTGTAAAGAGAGGTTTTGCCTGCGTAAAAAAAAGGGAAGCACCCTTACATGTAACCTGGGTATGATTTTTTTTCATCACCTACCCCAACGTGTGGAGCATCGTTGAATAGATCCCTTAAAATTACTACTTAACTTGGTAAGACTTTTTTTTACTTTAAAGAGCTAATTTTTGATCGTGTAGGGTTAAATAATATAGATGTGTCATCAGCAAACAATATAACCTCACAATAAATGGTAAATAGTTTATGTAAAATAAAAATAAGAAACGGACCCAGAATAGAACCCCCAGGGGCGCCCATAAATACATGAGATCTAGATGACTTAACTGACACCATTTACCTCTACAGTCTAAACCACAGACATATAACTAGTAGCAGACGGAATATTCAGTTTTAAACAGCGTGGCAAATACACACACATTCAAACTCACCAAAGCATGGGCCGCATTTAGTATAGTAGAATAATGGATGTCATTATTGTTTCATGACATACCTATCCGAATAGATAGGTCCTAATGTGATGTCCATGCTAATCTCTTATCTATTAGACAAGTCCGTCCGTCCGTCCGTTTGTCTGTGGTGCTGTTTCAGCGGATAAACCGTAAGAGATAGATAAAGAGAATGTTTAAGTTATAAGTTAAGAATAGCCTGATAAGACTACAAACCGGATTTGAGTAACGTAGCACTTCCGGTTTTCGAGAAATCACGTGATTTCTTATTTTTTATTATTATTTTTATTTTTTGGTTATTATTTTTTTTTTAACTAAATAATTTCAAACGAAACCACACAAAATCTCCGAAGTTCTCAATTAATTAAATACATTTTTTAAATTAGATTTTGGTGAACATTTGGTTCACTGGTTTGCTAGTCTCGGCCAAACCGTAAGAGATAGATAAAGAGAATATTTAGTTATTTAGTTTTCGAGAAATCAGGTTTTGGTGAACATTTGGTTCACTGGTTTGCTAGTAATATTATAAATGTAAATTGCAAATTTAGCCAGGCGAAATCGCTGAACCGATAATGATGAAATTGAGCACGGAGATAGAAAGGACATAGGTACAATTAGGAAAATTGAAATAAAAATTTAAGGCATAGTTTTTATTTATTTATTTTGAAATAATACAAGATTTTTAAAAAAATTCTCTGAGATACATTTGTTTCTTTACATTGATGTTTACATCTAAGATCAAAATAAAATTTGACAACAACTTTAATAAGCAAGTGGACATGGTTTATGTCATGATCTGGATTGTTCGAGTCAAATATTGAATAATCGACATAATCACATATGAATTTAATCAAACTATTAAAATCATTACTTTAGTTTATTTTAAAACAAAAAACACTTAAAACACTATAAGTTGGTTGCCAATCCTGACGTTTCATATATTTTAACCATGCATTCCGAGTACTTTCATCCTTTGAAAACCTAGAACAAAATTGTTTATGTGGTTATTTGGGTTACATACCTACCGATGCCAATGTTCCAAGAAATATGAATAGCTAGTCTATCTATTTACGTTCTTGATTGCATTCACATTCAAAATACAATGCAATGCAAACAAAATTAATGCCGAGAAACTTTTTGTCTTTCATACCGAGTCCGTCCTCTGTTATGGCAACAGTACTTCAGTTGTCAGAATTGAATCGAATCTTCGAATCGAATTTCCTATCATGATTTATCGTGATTACTTCTATTTCTTTACTTTTAGGATATTAGTTTTCACCGGTAGTATCTTAGATAATTAATCCTACGTAAAAAATGTTACATGTTACGATAATAATTAAATAAACTTCGAAAAGACTCAAAGACTTTTCAGTACACAACAAAGACACATAAAAACTTACTGATGAAAGGTAATCCTGGTGTTCTATTGTAGGTAGCACTTTCACATCGATACGCACTGTACTTCACCATAGTAATTGAATAATCTCGTTTTGTAATATAGTTTCATCAAAGCTATATTCTTAATAAACACCGAAAAGACGCATGTCCGATAAGTCATGTATAAAATGGCGGCGAGGAATAAAAATGACACGCGTTGACATTTGTTGATGTGTGAGTCAGTATTGCAATACATGGAAGAATGAGATGCCACTATCGAGTTGTAGCTGAGTACAAAAAGGATAAAAGATCATGCTTTGATTCATAAATATAACTAGGTTTTATGTTCCGTCTGCTATAGTATTATATGTCTGTGGTCTAAACCCTAAAACTGAGATACGACAATAACAATTTTTGGGTTGCGCCTTTGGCTTCATAGTGACTCAACTTCATTACCAGACATGATACTCAACGCAATAACGTAACCCAGGGTATGAAAAAAATACCTAATATCGCTTACGCTGCCTGAGTCATAGACAGTAAAGCTAAAGATTTACTAAAGTTTTATAGAATACATCAATATCAAAAAACTCTGTGATACCATATGTCTAACTATTACAGTTATGTCACACCTAAAGGTCCCGGGCGGTTTCCCCGCGTTACTTTGAGGAAAAAGGTTATAGTGAGCCAAACTTAAAAGATGGCATATGCTGTCGCGGACTTTTTATACAACTTGTAAAGGAAAACATAATATAGATATTTTTTGTATTACAGAGCACTGGCTAAAAAGTTATCAAAATATATTTAATTTTAATAATCATCAGGTTGGTAGTTCGTTCAATCGAGAAAACGCAATTCGAGGTGGCTCTTTAATATTATTGAATAAAAAACTAAAATTTAAGGAACGAAGAGATATTGTGAGCCTCTCGGTTGAGCGAACAATAGAAATTGCCTGTGTGGAACTGGACCAGCTTGTTGTATTGAGCGTATACAGACCACCATCAGCATTGTATGATTGTTTTGAAGTTACCATGGATGAAGCTATTAAAAAAACATACACTACAGGCAAACGGTTGATTGTCTCTGGTGTCTTTAATATTGATTTATTAGAAAAATCTAGTTCATGTACTAAAATAAAAAAAATATTTCAATCATACAATCTGAAAAACTTATTCATTGAGCCTACTAGAATAGCTGCCACTTCGGCCACTTGTATTGATAATATATACAGATATTATACCACAGAAAAAACAAATTATTAATAAACTAGATAGTGATCATTGTGGCCAGTTGATTACATTTCCGTATCAGCTCAATCAGGTGACGAAAAAACACATCACTGTTATATCAAAAACTGCTAATCGTGTGGAACGTTTAAAAATTAATTAGATAGAAAATTGTGTTATCTTAAATATAAAGACAGTCCAGATGATTTATATAATGATTTTTTTAATATATATTGCGATGAATTGAATAATGTTTTTGTACCCAAAAAGATATGTGTTAATGATGCGGTAAATTTTAGTAAGTGGGCTACGCCTGGAATTCATAAAAGTAGAAGAACACTTTATGAACTTTATAATGAACGAAACTCTAACACTAGTGAAAAATTTAAAGATCATGTTCGTAACTATTCCAAATTGTTTAAAAAAATATGCTGCTTAGCAAAATCAAATTACTTAAGTTCAAAGATTAAGAACAGTAATGACAAAATCAAAATGACATGGAATATTATAAACAATGAAACTGGAAAATCCAAAACTCGCAAAAATAATTATAACCTAAATATTGATAATAAAAAGGTTACATCAGATATTGAAGTTGCTAAAGTATTTGAAAATTTCTTACTGATATTCCAGTTTCAACCACAGACATATAACTAGTAGCAGACGGAATATTCAGTTTTAAACAGCGTGGCAAATACACACACATTCAAACTCACCAAAGCATGGGCCGCATTTAGTATAGTAGAATAATGGATGTCATTATTGTTTCATGACATACCTATCCGAATAGATAGGTCCTAATGTGATGTCCATGCTAATCTCTTATCTATTAGACAAGTCCGTCCGTCCGTCCGTTTGTCTGTGGTGCTGTTTCAGCGGATAAACCGTAAGAGATAGATAAAGAGAATGTTTAAGTTATAAGTTAAGAATAGCCTGATAAGACTACAAACCGGATTTGAGTAACGTAGCACTTCCGGTTTTCGAGAAATCACGTGATTTCTTATTTTTTATTATTATTTTTATTTTTTGGTTATTATTTTTTTTTTAACTAAATAATTTCAAACGAAACCACACAAAATCTCCGAAGTTCTCAATTAATTAAATACATTTTTTAAATTAGATTTTGGTGAACATTTGGTTCACTGGTTTGCTAGTCTCGGCCAAACCGTAAGAGATAGATAAAGAGAATATTTAGTTATTTAGTTTTCGAGAAATCAGGTTTTGGTGAACATTTGGTTCACTGGTTTGCTAGTAATATTATAAATGTAAATTGCAAATTTAGCCAGGCGAAATCGCTGAACCGATAATGATGAA